AAATTTTAAACAATATAAAAATATTTGCTGAAAGCCAACTGATGAAATCAGTTGGCCACACCACACACCTCTAGTTAAGAATATAAAATTCGATCTGGTTTTTTTCGTTACACACTGTAATATAGAATTGCTCACAGCCTCAAACTAGCGAACAGACTAAAGTCATTAAACATATTTTCTGGCTTCCACGGTTTAAGTTGTTGCCTTATACACAAATCGTGCAACAAAGTAGTGAGATTAACATGCTTAATTACATGTAGAATGACATTATTATTATACTTACATCTATATTACATCACAGATCAAGAGGGGGTTGGCTAAAGCGGAGTAGTTTTCATGGAATCGAGTGTAACCTAAGAATCGAAAAATTCAAGTGAGAAATTGAATTTTTATTATAACGACTGGCTTTTAGTTACCAAGAATCAATGCTTAGTGTGGAAAGTTGCATATATACACACTCTTTTAAACCACAATAACAAGTTACAAGTCGAATGATATTTTAACTGAGTTTAGTATTACTAATATTAATGATTGAAAAATGATATTGGCTGAATTAAAAAATCGCCCTCGTACGCACGCAAAAACGACCGAATAACGCCGCCAAAATCTTTTTATATAATAAATCGTATTAGTATTACATAGAAACTACTATTAATTCAAGTGCTAACTTCAACTATAACTGATGGATGATAACTACGATTCTCAAAATACTAATAATGTGGTATCCAGACAAGTGTCGGGTAAAAAATTTCAAATTTTATCTTCACCAATAATGAAGCCTGAGATTCAGCAGGATATTTAAGCTCGATAGCAAACCTGGGTATTTCTCGAAGAAATCGTACACCATGCAAGGCTAAAAGACAATATGAAGTTAATAAGACTTTTAAATGATTCTTTGTATTCATCCTCATATTCGTGGGTCCGACCCTGAATCGTCTAATGATGATAAAAATTTTACTGTGAATATGGTGAAAGCAAAGAAGCGTGGTCATAGATTCGGAATGGTCTTGCTTGATTTAGAGATAGATTTTTTCTTCAATTAATCCCTGTAGAGCCTCAATCTGGATTTGAAATAAATTAATAAACATTGAAATAGAGGTTTGGTTATTTATAGCAACCTCGGATTATTTTATTTCTAATTTTGGGCATGTTAAAAATAAAAATGGTAGAATTTTAAAAGGATATATTCGCAAGGTCATGGTTATGCACGATTACAATTATCGCAGTTTCACACAACGAAAATTTTCGAAAATTGCAATTGACCAGTTAAATACGCGTATATTTAATTAATTTTATCATACAATGGGAAATGAGCGCATTCGCCATTTCGATCATGATTAGTCAAATAAAACCCAGACGATATACTATCGCCTTATGTTACAACTGCCGCGACTCTGTTTATTATGTAAAGCTGACAACACCTTTGAGACTTGTACTTGTGAAAAAGGGGGGGAAAAGGCCAACAAAACGGAAACGAAAGTTACAAATTCATGGCCGTGTTAATATTACAAAGCATAACCATGCACAATCCAATCTTGAAGGAGAAAAGTAACTTGTTCGGTTATAATTCTAACTTGGGAAAAGTTCAATGTTTCCTTTTGTTCCAAGTGCCACACCGATTTGTACGTCTTGCAAAAGTACCATTCTCAAACTCTCACGTGCATCATCAACTACACCACCCATAAGTTCGTATCAAATTTGATTTTGTGCCTGATGCCTTAGTATTAAGGGTGACATTCTCAGTGGCCGAGTTTGATGGTTTCATCAAGTGCATTTCATTGGACGATGACACAATTCAAAGACATAATTACACTATGAATGGGCAGTAAATGCAATGGCAATGCAGATGAAGATTTCCAGACGGTTATAAAAACAATCACAGGCAAATATAAAAAATGTAACCTTGGCCCTCCGACTCTGAGAATCCCAGTACTTCAGAAACTGAAGATAGTACAGTCGACCTCCCTACAGTCACACGCTCTGGCAGGGCAAAACCAGTGACTCTAAAGAGGGGTTGACTGTAAAACAGTAAAAGGGAAAAGGGTTTCATTTATAGTCATGTGATCAACATATGCTAAACGATAAGTTTTTAATAATGAATTTACAATAAGATTTGACTTTTGTTGACGTTTTGATTCAAGTTCTTTGAGACTGAGCAGGTACAAGATACTTGGTAAATTATTAAAATCAAAGACTGTACTGTCAGACGGCTTTCGAAATATCTAATTACAGTTTCTAAATCTAACCGACCTACATACGTGGTATTTCTTCTCGAGACTCGTCACTATCATCTTCATCCTCCATATTGACCATAAAGACTATCTGTTCAAAGGAAGAGATCCTTCGGAATTAATGGGAGCATTAAGTTCTTGTATTAATTTATAGTTTTGCATAATTAGGCTATCAAAGAGGCGATTATACGAAGATTTGGGAGGGGACCTACTCAGGATAACCCCAAAAATCGCGCGACATCAAGTTATATTAATATCTTTATCCATTTTGAATTTGCATTTACCGAACGGCTTACCATACCACGATCAATGTCTTGCTGCGTGGTGTTTTTTGTAAGCAATAACCTCCTGAGTACGAACTTTGCATTCGTCTTTGGGCCTTCGTTTTAACATTTTAACAATTTTACCATTGTACAGTAAAACCTGTTTCGCGTATTACGTGATACATCAGGGATGCTAAATCTGAAATTCTATCTCACAATTTGGAGGTTGTACCAACGCTATGATGGCCGAAGTGGTTGATATCTAGATTAAACATTATTATGTAATCGGTATGTTTATAATCCACTTTGGCGAATCACTGCCTTAGTACAACAACGTGCTTGGATTTTTCTACATGCTTTACCAATTGATCGTTTATCCTAAAATTTGGCATATCGATTCGAGATAACCGATAAATATATTAGTAGAGGTAAACGAAATATATACAATTAGAAAAAGATTAAGTTGCGGCTCCCGATGTTTTGGACGTCGGGAGACTTGATTCCCTCGTAATTCCGCACCACTATTCATTTCTCTTCTATTATGCTTAATTTTTTGCTTAATAGGATTTTATTGAAACCCGTTGAAACTTTGACATCCGATTCCCCAGTACAAGAATTGACCTAACCAGAGTTAAAAAAAAATACACCCATCCCACCCGAAGTTAATTTAATGCTGATCTTCTGCTAGTCTAACAGACACCATAGGTCTTGTCTGTTTGGTTTTTGTGTCCCTTAAAGGCAAGCGTGGCATGCTTAAGGAGAGTCCATCGCTGTGAAGCAGAACTGTATCAGGCGAATAAAAACGAAAGCGGTTAATTATTGGTCAACGTGACATTTAACGAATCAAGAACTTATGAAGCAACATAAATAGCATTTGATTTCTTATACCCACCGCATAGTTTTAATCGCAGCTCGGTCCATCTTATCCAAAAGTGATAGAGCCAGTTTTATATCCTTCATCAATAATTCACAACGAATACGCGTAAAGTCCTCCTACATGAATTTGTAAAAAAATATTGTAAATTAATATGTGGTTGAGTTCAAACTGTTGACTTGTAGTAAAGATGATACACACCCGTAAGACAACACGAAGTAACTTTATATGTTCGGCATGAGGCGCCATAGTATACGCGGGAACAACCCACCCGCGTTCACGAAGTCTGGTTGCAAGATCAAACTTGGTAAAGACAGTTCCAGTTAATTTATATAATATCGTGCCTTCATAAACAACGTTTCCCGACTTTAAACAACCATAGCATCTATTCCAGTCACACCTCTGAATTTCTTACCTCATCGTAGTTCATCTTTTCGTTGTGTTTCAACCTGAACGCAACAACAGGTAGACCCTTTCCGTTTCTTTCGCTTAAAATCTCAAACCTTTCGGTAGCTTCCAACATCTGCGCAAGGCGATCAGCATGTTTTGTAATGTTTTTCATAATGGAAGTAAAGCCTTTTCGGCCAAGGCGGATGAGAACATAATATTGTGCAATCACATGCGATGCGCCTTTTGAAAAGTTCAACGTGAACGATGCCTGTTAAATGAAAGCAAGAATCCATTATACATCTTGCAGCACGCGATTTCATATATACTTTTGGACAGAAGAATTCTCGATTGTCGAATTGTTTTCATCCCATACTTATCGTACCTGGTCAGCTCCCAGGTAGTTGATAGTAAATACCAAATCTTTTGGCAAATATTTCGCGCTTCTCCATATAGCCCATCCAATACCGGGATAACACAGTCCATATTTGTGCCCAGAGACATTGATCGATTTGACTAACGGCAATCGGAAATCCCATTCTAGATCAGGATTCACAAATGGTGCTACAAATCCACCCGATGCGGCATCGACATGAATAGGGACTTCCCAACCAGTAAGCGCTTTTTTGACTAGAAGAAGGTCGTTGACTGCCTTTACGTCTTCATAATGCCCAGTGTACGTTGAGCTGTGTATATGAGATGAGAGTAGAATAGGGGAAGAGGAATGAAAGTGGGCGGCGATAGAATTACATAAGGTGTCAAATCCCCGATTGCGACTGAGCGACATGAAATAAAGACTTACCCTAAAATTACGCATACGCCTATGGTGTTCTCGTTAACAAGCTCGACAGCCTTTTCGGGGGACAAAATGTATTGACCTTCTGAGCAGTATACATAATTCTCTTCGACTTCAAAATATCTGCAAGCTATCAATTAACCCAAGAAAATAAAACGGCAGCTGTCAGGTCATATATTCTCGTATCATGCGGACATTCCCATTCCCATTCCCATTCCCAATCCCTATCCCTATCCCTACAAACAAAACGAACCTTTCTCCCAGCATACTTGTACGTTAGAACCCATAACCAAGTTGGGCTTATCAGTAGACAACCCTTTCGCGCGACGCTGTTCTTGCCACCTTCGTTTCATTGCCAATACAGCGAGCATAATTGCTTCTGAAGATCCGACAGTAGAAACGCCCATTGCTTCTTGATTTGGATTATCTACTGGCGCGTGAAAGAGGCGCGCAATGATGTTGACGCAGCGATTCTGCATGCAGATATTTTAAGTATAGTATGTGAAAAAAAAAAAGTCGGATGAGTGCATAGATACGATATGGTAAATCAAGTTACGCCGACAGATACGATGTTTCAAATTTACTACGCTGACCAGCATTCTATGTCCTTACGGATTTAAACACGGTAAGCAGGCTTGTTCTCGTCCATCAGTAAACTGATACATATGCGAGAGAAAACCATCCGCACAAGTATGTACGCATTGAAAAACGTGTCATTCATCAATTACCTGAATTTCAACCGACATCGGATATTCTTCGAAATCAATAAAGTTTTTGGAGATGTTTTCATACATGAGCTTTTCAGCTTCCTCTTCCATGTAAGTCGTTACGAATGATGCCAAATTCAATGTTGGTTTGCTATCGAGCTGTGTTGAACAATGATATGCGCGTTTGTAGTGAGATATAAAAGTTTGCGTCTTGGCAAATGAATACAGCTGATTCTGTAGTTACCGCCAAGTCATCTTTGATCAATTTATATGCAACCTTGTTTGAATGTTGCAATAATTAGTACATGGCATCACGCAAGCGAAAGCTATACTTTAAAAATATTTAATTTTTTTTACGAGTCCTACATGAGGTGGCATTTCATCTTCTGGTAGTTCGAATCTGCGTTAATAAAGTAAAAATTTAAATTACAAGAATTATAACGTACAACAAGTGAGCGCGTCATATCAATAATACCTCGGGATGGGTTGATCCGACCATCTACTACCATAGACGGTGCTTGAGTAAACCTATAGAGTATTTATTGCAGCAGATATATTATAACATAACAATACTTATGCACGACTGACTCAATTCAGACTTTCAATTCATCTGTGTTGTCTCACCTCTTCCGTTTGATCACTTTCAGTACATTCATCCTTCCCCTCTAATTTGCTGTTGGAAATTGCATTGCTCAGAAACACCATCCTTTCTGTTTGATTCAGAAGAAATATGATTTCTCATTTTGTTCAAGGGTCAGCCACACTCTCTTTTTATATTACTCGTGAGAATGAGTATACTGTCTTATATTGTTTATTTAACTAATTTGTGATTACCGTTTCAGGTTTAGCGTAATCTCATATCTAGTTTGTATTACATTACTATTTTGTTTAGGTAATAGGCTAACTAAATAAAGCAAACTTCATTGCCAAGTGATGCACGATGCGCTAAACTGGTACAAAAGATGCTATGCCACATATCAATAGAGAAGTAAAGATCTCATGATTAGATATGGTGCTTGGGATAATGTGAGGTCCGTGTTGTGGAAAGAGGCGGTTGTGGATTTCAGATCTGTAAGTGGGGTGTAACCGAGCTATGAATTGGGATTGGTGGGAGATAAAAAAAAAGGATGAGGCGTCGTGGCTTCTTAGACTAACTGGCGGGCATGGCGATGGGACATGTTGATATATCTTCATTAGTCATGTGATTATATAGGTGGTACAAACTCAGGATCGACGGGTTCCAGATGCTGTCTTAGATGCTGTCTTGGAATAAATAATAATTCTTAGTGAAACGAGTAGCATTCTAAATGTTCCGGATGTCCGTAATGTACTGTTTTCCGAATTAGTCGGGTAGACGTCTCACGAATGAACATCACGAATTCATTAATATTAACCATATCGATTGGACAAACAACGGACAGAGACTTTTATTAAAAAAATCGATTGTCTTATGAATCACTATAACTTATGGTTTCGATGAAAAGTCGAATTATACGATTACTTAATTTACCAGTTCCCTTACTCTTAGACTAAGAAACACCATCTAATAGGAGGACGGACCCGATTTATCGAGGTCAGCTGATAAATTGCTCACACTGTTGAGCTATCAATGTAAGAAATTTACAAGACGCTAACCACCCAAAAAATTACGCGAAAGTATCTTCAAATATATAGAAAAGTTTCATTCTGACGCAAACTACCAAACGCTCTTAAAGTCGAACATTGGTTGGTCGGAAAAAATAACGCAGAAGAAATAATCTGATCGTATTGTCATAGACAATAATTTTACGATTATCTCTTTTCTGTTATGAGTGTATTATTGTATGCTTCATACAAACCAAGTTTGTGTTACATGAACGCATGTGTCGTGTCAGGAATTTATAATAAACACGTATGTATGACATTTCTTATAACAACAATATTTTTTATGGTAGACTCGTAAATTATGGATTTGAAATTTACAAGTAAAAATTTCTGTAATAACCTTTCAATAAACAGCTCCACGTACATAACGAAAACAGCGAAATTGTATTTATGTGGCGATATTTGCAATTTACACGGCGTATTTTCAATCTGCAACGTATCTCTGATGTAGTTTTAGTTGCTCTAAACAAATTATGAATTTACGGAGGGATATTTTCATATCAACAAAGACCTTAAAAATCGGGTGACTGTGACTCGCAATGATCGTATTTGATAATTATATATAATATGGGCAACGTGGTTGACGCCAACTCATATACCGGTCACCTATAGCTGTAATTCACGTTCACTGAATTGTAAAAGTTCGCGCACGTCCCTTTTCTTTTGTAGTCATTGCGGGAGTTTTCCTTCAGTCTGTACAATATTGAAATACTTTGCATTGTCACATGCACTTCTACCCATTGTATTATTTATATTATTCGTATGTACAAGACTAACTTTAGGTGTCATTCATTAACCAAGCGAACTTTCAAAACCTAGTCTCAACAGTCAATTCTGTTTTCTAATAGAATAGCAATCCACGACCTTTTTAATTATCTATTATGACCCGACTTTTAATAGCATTTTGCGCTCATTACCTATCCGCATCACAATTGCTCTCGCTAACGCTAGAAACATCGATATTACGTTGCTCCGGATCAGATATCCCATCTCCCTCATCATCAGTATCCATATTTGCTAAGGCATCATTGTTCTTATTACGCACTTCACTAATGACCTTGAATGTCTCTCCGCGTTCTTCTTCAGCAGCCCCAGCCTCCATCTTCGAAAATGATTTATCACTCCTATCAAGCAGACGCTCCAGATCTTCGTCAGGAATAATAACGTCACCTTTCTGTACAAGGTGTACTTGTTCATTGTCTTCGCTAGCCAAGATTTCGGCTAACTCGCCAAGCGTAGTGCTCTTGCTTTCACCAGATGGAACTTTGAATTTACCCCTGTGCATTACAAGTTTTTCAAGTTTTCGCTTTGCAGTTGCTTTTTCAATTATTTTACTTTCCACCGTATTTACGGTGACTAGACGGTAGATGACAACTGGCTTCGTTTGTCCGATGCGATGGCATCTGTCCTGTGCTTGAAGATCCATTTGGGGATTCTATCGGGCGGAAAAGGAAATCATTTGGTAAGATTGAAAGACTCGCTATGAAGGATGATAGATAGTGAACCCATATTTTACCCAGTCACTGTCATAAATAATCACAGTATCAGCAGCCGTTAGATTAATCCCAAGCCCGCCAGCGCGCGTTGAAAGAATGAATAATTTCATGTCAGGGCTTGTGTTAAAAGCTTGGATCTAATACATATGGTATTACATTAATACTGATGGTATAAATATTCCTTGACCACAAACGTGAACCCAAGTTTAATTTATCGATTTCTTACTTGATCTCTTCGATCTTCTTGCTTGACACTACCATCAATACGGCAAATTTTCCATCCTTTGATTTCGACTGCCCATTCTTCAATAATATCCAACATTGTCGTAAACTGGGAGAACAATAGCACTTTATGATCGCGCTCGAATAGAGCAGAAAGTAGACGATCCAGTAACATCATTTTTCCTGAACTAGTTACTAATTCTTCTGAAACAAGCGGATAGCTAGTATCTGGATCAGCAGGCCAGTCAAAGAGATACGGGTGATTACAGACTTTTCGGAGTTGCATAACAATATTTTGTAGCTTTAAACTATTTACAAAGCGTACTAGACCAATAAAGTTTAATTTGATGTTAGGATATAGCTGTCAGTCGAGTAAACCTTAAAAAGCCATAAAGTGTTGAGATTACCAGCTTTGTCCTCAGAAGCCTTTTCCTTTGCAATCGCTGTTGTATTTTCCTTTTCCTTAGAACCGCTCTCATTATCGCCCTTTAAACTATCAAAATATCTCTTATCTGATAATTCCGCATATCGTATCCGTTGTTGTTGTCGCAAAGATCTCTTCCGTTCATTTGCCTGCCTCTTCCGCTCTGCTTCTAATTTTTCTGGTGATATTTCGGTGGATTTTTCATCTGTCTCTGAGTCAGTTTCGCTTTCAGCAGAACTTGGTTCTGTATCCATACAGTGTGCAAATTTGGAAGATGTTAGAATATCAAGACAACGCGTGAAGAATCCGTGACATTCGTTTCGCATTACTTACCCTCATGTATATCCATGGGTTCACTAGAGTCATTAGGAGATTTCCCGGTTGTCATCTTGACCAAGTATTGTCTGATGTCTCTTCTGAGTACCGCGTCGTAAAGTGCCTTTTGTTGTGCCGATATGGGAGCAAAAAGAAGATACTCCTTCTTTTTTTGGAAGTGCATTTTCAACTATTCAAAATAATGTTATTATTTGGGAAACTGGTGAGTCATGCATGAATATAAACGTTAAAAAGTAGTTACCATCCGTTTTTAATCTTCTGAGTACAAAGGGCTTGAGAATTTTATGCAAATTAGAAATTATCATATTTTCTTGTTCCTCAGCCAGAATTCGTTGCTGCCCGTTTTCTTCATTCAGTGCCGAAAAATCAAACCTACAATCGTGATGGTTATTTAATAAACGTCATTGAAATACGTTTGGACAATCCTTAAAAACTTACCAGTTTTGAAAACTATCCAGATCATCGAAGATATCAGGCAACAGGAAATTCAACAGACTCCATAGCTCTACCAGATTATTCTGGTAAAGATTACAAAGTTAGGCTTTGTGCAAACCAATTAAAAACAACTTCACGCTATACATATTTTTTTCTCGTAACCTACTTGTAACGGCGTTCCCGTTAATAACAATCTATTTGCTGATTGATATGACTTCAACTCGCGGATAAGTTTGCAGTTGAGGTTTTTGATACGGTGGCCCTCATCAACAACGATAAACTTCCATGCCAATTTCTATTGATAGGAAAATAACAACAATGCTTAATCGACGCAATGATGCTTCAGGAATTCGATCAAAATCGCCAGTACCTGCAAATACTTCCGATCGTTCATTACAATTTCATAACTCGTCACCACAACAGGGAAGGTATGATCTATTTTCCTCAATCGTTTGTTGCGAATATGGGTGCGTTGCTCGGGTGTACCATGGTACAATACAACAGGAATTGAGGGTGACCATCTGCACAAAATAACCAGGCCACGATTAGAAAACAACTAAAGTAGCAAGTATCGTTACAAGTGCTATCAGTCCAACCTTTGGAATTCAGAAACCCAATTAGCAAGCGTAGATAATGGAGCTACTATGAGATAAGGACCATATAGCCGGCGCTCCCACAAGTACGCGAAAAATGCGATTGTTTGCAAGGTCTGGAATTAAATATCATTAATCAAGCAATACTAAGAAGGAACAACTGACCAGCATATATGCATTCTGCACGTCAGACTGTACCTTGCCTAAACCCATCTCATCAGCAAGGATGCCGTTAAGCCCATTGTCATACAAACTTACGAGCCATTCTAACCCGGCTAACTGGTATTCGCGAAGTGCACCACCCGTTATGAGCTTTGGTTGACGTGCAGACCTCTTTTCCGGTTGTTTTGCTGCTGCCGATGATCCCACTGGTGTTGCGGTTTCATCCAAATTTTTACGTCTCTTTGCCAATTCCTGTACATGGATGATGGGTTTAACGATTTTTTCAAACTCGATACAAATTCGGTCAAATTTTTCAAAATGCATACTTCTGCTGTAGTATAATCTGAAATATATGTAGATTCCTCGTTCTTCCTCTTTCTTGTTCGAACGGACTTTCTTTTTACCACGGATTCGTGAGTACTATTGTTCTGCTCGGTATCGTCATTCTTAGTTGAGATGCGCGTTGATCTGCGCGATGGGTTAACTATTTCTTCTTTCTCTTCTGCGTCACTCGGTTCCTTATCAGTCGTATTATTAGTGGTAGCAGCAGCAGCCGCAGCCGCAACTGCAAACGCAAGTCTTCTTTGTTCCTCTTGTTGCTGTTGCATTTTCTCGGCGAGAAACTTTGCATAAAGTGAAGATTTTTCTAGCAAATACGTTAATCGTTGAACTCTTTTCTGCTTGACCATGGCGTCATAATCTGCGACAGCCTAAAGGTTGGCGGGTAAACTTGCTGAGTCAATGAAAGTATATGACAAAAAGAAAAAGGCATGCAACAGTAATACAGTACTTTCTCCTTTAACGTTTTAAGATCCTCCTTCTCGTTCTCTTCGCGAATTGTATCTGTATCTGTAGCCATAGCAACCGGCTTTACAGGTGATATATGGCCGTTATGCTCGGTCTTTAAAGTCTCTGGTGTTTGGGGCGACGACGGCTCTAATGATTGCTTAGAGCCCGTAGGGGATTCAACGGACAGTTCTTGAGTGGATGATTCCTATTCGAATAAGCATTTGGGCTTTAATTCATAATGGAGAGGCCGTGCAGGAAGCTCAATTACAATAGTCAAATATCACGCTAAAGAATGCTTTTGAACGACGCGTCCGACTACATACTTGAGACATTTGAGGAGTCAAATATGGAGGTGACAAAATTTCATGACCCATTTCTCAAACTTGTTGCTACGTGAAATAACTAGAAAGTTATTGAAATAGTGCAAATCGAAAGCTTCTCCGTAACTGTAAAGAGAGTCTCTAAAAACGCGTCGATACGAACTTCTATCTTTTTATACTGCGTGCGTTTAATTTACAGATCTGGTTACACACATACTGTAGAACATGAATGAATTAGTGGCTGGTTGGTTAATGCTGTCAGCTGTGTTACATCTGTCAAAAATCATTAAAAATCTGTTATTGGAAATATTTGTATACGAGGATATTAATCCAGATACTACTGAGCTCGATAACGATACTTTATTACAAGCAAGACTACTTCATTCCAATATTCTCTATTTTCCCCACTGACCTAATACTTTCAGTAGTCTTCGCAAGATTGACCTTCAACAAATAATATACAGAATAGAAAAATTGTAATAATAATACATCTATTACTATTATTAAATTAAAAATTTCCAGAAGCAGTAATGCCTGGATCGTATACCATACTAATTACGAACTAGTAGGTATGTATATCAATGTCGTGTATAGCATACTCAGCGTGTTTACGCTTTGCCCAATTCGAAAGCACGCTATGCTAGAGTTCTTAACTTGCACGATCCATTTTTAGCAGAATGTTAATTCGTAATTTATCATTATTATCATACACTGCAGCCAGCATTTCCCTACAGCTAAAGTCATGTGACATACACATACAAAATGGGAATAGTATTCTTTATTATTTACCAATTCAACAACTATTTTTGCTAAACTTTTTTGCTGTTTTCCCTTTCTTCATTGGTGCTATTAAGATTATTTTTAATCTATGTCGATGTTTGAATAAAATTCCTACATTCACTTACAAACTTTGAATAAAACTATCAACAAACGGTTGCTTTTTTTTTGAGATAGAGTGAGCCAACAAATTATTTCTCAACATCAAGCTTAAAAGTTTAAAACTATACTTTTATCATAAGCAAACTCAGCAGGCAGGTTGGAAAGGAAGTAAAAACATGCCTGTGGGATGTCTAAAGCGGACTTGACACGTATGGTAGGATGAATAGCTATGTCTTTAATTTTGTCTTCTTCTTCAACCAACTATTGGAAGCACCAAATTTCTCGACCTTTAATAGAGCAGTAAAGTGCCTTGCTTAAATATCGAACGGCAACAACGAACGGCTCGTGTAAACCACATGTCAACGCGAGTTTACCTTTTTGATGAAAATCCACTGTCATTAGTGGCCAACCAACTACAACAATTATTTCATATATTTACTACAGCGTTTTGCTTAATTTCGTGTTGATGTGCAGTAACAGATTGTGTCGGAGCAGATTTTGAGAAAGTAAAGTACAGATCTCTTCTTCTGTGCATGAGTAAATATAATTCTTTCTTTATTAAAGACCATTTTCTATTAAGAAAGATTAATAATTAAAATGTTTAACTTTTCCAAAATTTAGTAAGTGGTACACAAATCGGTAGATTAATAGGAAGGCCATCGCATATATCGGTATAAAGGTTATAACGTGGCATTATAATTATTAGTATAACGAGTACGAGGTTGACTTGTAGTAAAAGACAGATTACATCTTGCTGAACCAGTTCACAGTTGGAGGAAAATTAGCTCTCACGGCCAAATGTTTACTTTGTCTGGTTTTGTTGCAGTCTGCTCTAAATGTATTCTGTAACAGTAAATTTATAAACTCAAAAATAGTTTCTTGGTTTTTTGTATATCACACACAAGTAAGAAACGAATGTACAATATATTTTCTTTGTTCAACTTTTCTTGATTAGTTTGGTAACAAATTGGTCTTGTACTGATTAGGCAAGGCTGAAGGTAAAACAATGCAACTTTACTTCTTTTTTTTGGATCCAATTGTTCAGATGTTGTTTTTTTGTGTCAAAAAATTTGTTTACATGCAATAAAATAAAGATGTTTATAAGAAATGCTGAATGTGTTTAAATTGGTTTTAATTAATTATACTAATACAGCGTACTGACAAACTATTTGGGGCAATAACTACACTCGATGGACAAAAGTGTGAATAGCCGATTTTGCTGTTTGCTACGGAATTACTTAATTGGTCAAAATTCCACCCCGAGTATTTTGGATCGGGTGACAAG